TTTGTCCCATCAGCTCAAACCACAAACCTCCTTCAGTATCTTATTGCCTCAAAAATGGTTCTGAAAATTCTTCTCTTGTTGCTGGAAATCGGGTCCAGCGTCCCTTTTCTACTCCGATCTCATCAAGATGACCGCAGCCCATTCTGTTAAAATGCAACCCCCCAAAAACCAGCATCCGAAACAGACCCTCAAGGCGTAGTTATTTCTACAAGGGATAAAGGGTGTGGGGGGAAGGGGTCCGGGAAATCGGAAGCTGGCCTCATTGGGAAGCTCGGGTCGATGTCAGTCCATTCTTTAAATTTTAGTCAGTAATCCCTTCTTACCAGCTCTCCCTCCCCCTGAGGGCCCTCGTTCGCGTCCCCTGACCATTTCACCTGCGCAATCCAGCCTTCCCTTTCCCCGCCCAACCATTCTTGGCAGAATTTAGTGATGCTTTCTTTAATATCCTTTTTTGACTGGAGTTGACTAAAGTCTTCCCCCACCCATAACACATATGCTTTGTATTCGCATTTTCCAAAAAAAAAGAGTCTTTTGAAAGGTAGACCCTTTTCTTCGAATAGAAGGGCACTTTGAACATAACGCATACGCTGTTTATTCGAATAAAACACACATGCTTTGCGAATAGAACTTCACGAATAGAAATTGTTGCATTCGAATAGAACGTAACCTATTTGGGGTAACTTCAGTAGAGTCACAGAAACGAGTTATAATTGCACTATGGGGCACGATACAGTTTCAAATTGCACTTCGGCCACCCTACCTGGCCAGAAAGTTGGGTTGTATACATTCCCCGAACTGCAATTCGAAACTGTATCTTGTCCCATAGTGCAATTATAACTCACTTTTGTGACTCCAAATGTTGATGGCTGTTTTGTTATATGAACCTCAACAAATTCAATTTCCATACCATATAGATTTAGATGTTTTGAATTAAAGGCAACCAACCTTCAGGTCACACGGCCAATAACACACTAACCACACCCCCTCGTCTGGGGGGACGCGTGGATGACCGCA